CCTGGGAGACAGAGCAACGATCCATTAAAAAAAAAAAAAAAAAAACAACTTTCAGCAGGTATGGTGGCTCATGCCTGTAATCCCAGAACTTTGGGAGGCTGAGGTGGGTGGATCACCTGTCAGGAGTTCCAGACCAGCCTAGCCAACATGGTAAAACCCTGTCTCCACTAAAAATATAAAAATTAGCTGGGCGTGGTGGCGGGCGCCTGTAATCCCAGCTACCTGGGAGGCTGAGGCAGAATTGCTTGAACCTGGGAGAAGGAGATTACAGTGAGCCGAGATAATGGCACTGCACCCCAGGAGGTTACAGTGAGCCGAGATAATGCCACTGCACCCCAGCCTGGGTGACAGATTTAGACTCTGTCTCAAAAAAAAAAAAAAAAAAAAAGAAAAAGAAAAAAACACTCTTGCAGTAGTTCAGAGCCCTTGCCTGTGAATGAGCAGCACCTGCTGGTCATCCAAGGCGATGCAGGATCTCATGTTTACAAAGGTTTGGCCAAGTCCACATGCCAAAAACTTTTATGGAGAGAATCATCAGGGGTTCTCTCCAAAAACACACTACGAACAAGCGGCATGAAACAGGAGGCATCATTTTTTAACAAGACTTTTATTTGTACAAAGCATTACAATCTTCTCAGCATTCTTCACTCACAAACTTTTCACTGTATTTAACAAGTTAACAGTGTCAAACTACGTCACTACCTGTCAAACCCCAAGCGCTCAACTAAGAGAGAAACAAAAAGTGCTTGGAGCACTGAATGGAAACAGAAAAAAACTAAGAAAGGCCAACAGAGATATTTTAGAAGCAGTTAAAGAGGATGGTTAAGGGACAGTTAGATTCCTGAGCACCATCAGATTTCCCTTAAGGTTCAGAGGGGCTTCACAAAATAATTTTTAGAAGACATGAGACAAAATTAGCCAGGCTTGGTGGCAGCATCTGTAGCTCCAGATACTCAGAAGGCTCAGGTGGGAGGATCACTTGAGTCCAGGATTTCAAGGATGCAATGAGCTATGATCATACCACTGCACTCCAGCCTGGGCCACAGAGAGATCCCATTTCTTCAAAACAAAACAAAACATGAGATTAGAACTAAGGAAACAAGAGATCAGAGAAACTCACACTTTGGAGTATTAAGCAGGTAATCAAAGCTTCCAGACTGACAGAAGTGAGAAAAGGAGGGAGAGGAGAAAGTGGGATGGGGGACAGAGGAGAGGCAGAGGAAAGGAAGCAGGAGGCACAGAGGGAGAAAGCTGTGCCTACAGGAAATAAAGTTCGGAACTCATGAATTGAAGAATGAAAAGCTATAGTCACAAGTCTGGGAGATGGACTTCAAGAAGAGAAAGCCTGGGGTTTTACACCTTCCAGGAGGTGATGACAAATCCTAAAGCTGTATAGTGGCAGAGAGTAAGGTACACCTGACACTATGCCATCTGTTTCTGTAAAAGTAAGACACTAGCACCCTTGCTTGACTAATACCATTCTACACTGCTGATTTAAGAGTATCTGTGATCAGATTACCAGTACACCAGCAGGTCAATCATCTGCAGGCAATATAGAAAGGTTTTGAGCCAAGCGGGTCTATGAAAAACAAAACCCAGTTAATGCTCCTGTCAAGTGAAGAGACAGATTTTGTTATTCTCCCACAGCATTTTAGTACTTTCCTAAAGCTTACTCATTCTGAGCAGTCTTAGTAAGCTACTGTCAAAGACTGTGCAATCAAACATAGGCGACCATAAGCAAAGCCCCAATTTTTCCTGAGCCCTGGCTGCTTCTGTGATCTGGAACACAGCAGGCAGCATGGAAGTTATTATTACTTATTTGGGGGAATAGGGAAGACTGCAGATCAAAAACCATCTAACCATACATTTAAGTAACCAAAAGCGATCAACTGACTAATTTAGCCGCTCAGAATCCCTCTTGTCAAAAAGTCATAATCTTCAGATTGATGAAGGAAAACAGGATTCTGCTACTCAGATGCTTTCAGTTTGGTGAGTGCTGGTTTTGATGGTATTTCTAGTCAGTTTTTATTCTGATCTTTTCAGGCACTTTTGCCTGAGACTACTCTGCCCAGCATGGAAAAGCTTCACAGAAACACGTAGCACGTCTCATCTCAAGTGGTACCTTCCAAGCTGCTACAGTCTCCCACCCTATTCAATTGTCTACTTCTTCCTCTTCATTCTGTTCTTCTTCTTCCAGCCTTTCTTCATCTTCGTCATTGTCCTCATCCCTGCTCTTGTCTTGCTCTTCTGAGTCTGTTTTTTTGTCTTTGTCCTTCTTCTTTTGCTCTGAGGCCTCCTTCTTGCCTTTCTGCTCCCGCCTATACGCTGTAAGGAGGAAAGAAGGGGTTAGGAGACAGAGCTGAAAGTGAGCCAGACAGACTGCAGGAGCTAATTACATTATACAACTGGAAAAACAGAGGCAGGTGGGTGCGGTGGCTCACGCCTGTAATCCCAGCACTTTGGGAGGCTGAGGCGGGCGGATCACCTGAGGTCAGGAGTTCAAGACCAGCCTGGCCAATATGGTGAAACCCCATCTCTACAAAAATACAAAAATTAGCCGCACGTGGTGGCATGCACCTGTAGTCCCAGCTACTTGGGAGCCGGAAGCAGGATAACTGCTTGAACCCAGGAGGAGGAGACTGCGGTGAGCCAAGATCCCACCACTGCACTCCAGCTTGGGTGACAGAGCAAGACTCCATCTCAAAAACAAAAAACAAACAAAAAAAAAAACAAGAAAAACAAGACCAAAAAAAAAAAAACCAAAAAAAAAAAAAAAAGGAGGCAGAAAAGGAAAAATAACTTGCTCAGCATCACAAAACAGATCCGAGGTAGTGTCCATCGAACTGGGTCGAGTCACATCAAGTGCTGGCTTAGAGAACTTAAAGGGACCCGCGCTGAGAAAGTCTCAGGGCCAGATGAACAGGTCACACAGGATGACCATCTACGTGGTTTAGAAGACAGAAGGCTTGTTACCTTCCAGAGCTTCCTTTAATGGGGTAACGAACCGCTGGAACTCCATCTCTTCCATGGCTGAGAGCACATCACTGGCATTCAGCGTCTTGCGCTTTCCTTTCATAGCAAAATTGTTGGCACTGAGAGAAGAGAAAGGCTGTCAGACTCCCTCTTGTTTGTAAGGGGTGAGTGGGAAAAGGAGCACCCAGAGGTGGAACGGGAAAACCTGCCTCTTACATGCATGGATTTTGGTGTGACACGGATAAGTCCTTCCCTTCTCTGCACAAAAAAAGCTTAAGCAAAGTTATTTTGTTGCGTTACTTTGCTTCAGAACTTGTAGGAACTGGCTGAGAACTGAACCTGTCCCGACCGAGGGAGGACATAATCGTTGGGGTTTGTGGGCTCCCGGCCAGGAACTCCCAGCCAGGTATCCCCGAGCCTCCCTTATGCCTCTGCCCCGCTCACCAGGATGTGGCGTACAGCACGAAGACGCTGGCGGCGCGGGAGATGGCGCTCCGGGCCTCCTTGGAGATGTTGACACCGTCCGGGAGCTGCGAGGAGACCGGGGGTGAGCAAAGCTGCCGGTCCAGCACTTGCTTCCCTCCTGCCCGTTCGTCCGCCCCCCCCAGCTGCTCACCGCCTCCTTGATGATCCTGGTGATGACGGCGTTGGGCAGGTTTAGGTCCTCGGGCCTCTCCGCCATTGCCGCCGCCGGGGCTGAGCCTCCCTCTCGCCTCCGCTACAGGCAGCTACTGCGTCCGGACTTCCCGCGTCGCTACGGTCTGACCCTCCGGAGGTTCCGTCCCGCCCCACGTGGCCCACAGTGTCCCACAGTGCTCTGCGCGCTATAGCCTCCCTCTTCCCCCTAGCCCCGCCTCCGCCTCAAATACCGGCGCATCCGGATTTTGAAGCCGCAGTGGTTTTGGCCCGCCGAGGCTTCCATCCAACCGCACCCCACCCCGCACGCCCCTCCCCAGGTCCGTTTCTTTGCCTCTCGCCATCGCTGCGTCGGGAACCTTCTCATCAGCTTATTATGGCTCAAAGGAGTTTCCGTCCGTTTTCCATGGTGCTCTGCGCCGCTGCTTGGCGACGGTGCAACCGGGCGCAGCGTGTGGGAGACGGAGGCGTGGCTGACGCGGCTGGGCGGGTCCCTTTAGGGCCGGAGGCAGGGTGTGGCCGGCCGGGTCCGTAAATCTCCTCACCGCGCCGCAAGGGGCCGCGTTTTACCACTTCTTTTAGCAACCCTAAGCGGTTTGGAATCCGCTTTGCTCTTACAGGACCTCAGCCCGTCGTGATCAGATTCTCGCACTTTTTTTTTCTTTCCTGGAATGGAGCGGGCAATCTTTTTCCATCTCTACCGAAGTTGATGTTCATTTTTAATATTTTCACCCCTCACACCTTTGTAATAATGGTACTAAAACTGAGTGTTATTTAGATTTTTGTTGTAGTTGTTGTTTGTTTTTAACGTGAACTATTTATGTAGCCCGGGGATAATGTTGGCCACATAGAGATGCGCCTGATTAGGTCTCAGGAGTCTATTCGGGCTGGGCAGGTAACGAAAGGACGAGAAGCAGCCTTTTCATTGTAAGAAGAATGCAACATTACATTCGCTTTCAAAAACAAACCGTGTTAAAATTGTGTTTATTTTTCAGTTAAATTGTTCATCATACCTCTTTTCCAGTTAAAATCATTCTCAAGGTTTTGCAATGGCGTTTTAAGTTGTTTTTAAGTTATTTTTATATTATGTTCGTGGAAATTCTCACTCCCACTGATTTGTATGTATGTATTTATGTTTGACAGGATCTCTGTCCCCCAGGCTGGAGTGCAGTGAGGCGGTCTCGGCTCACTGCAGCCTCGACCTCCTGGGCTCAGGTGATCCTCCCACCTCAGCTCCCCTAAATAGCTGGAGCTACAGGTGCATTCCATCACACCCAGCTAATTTTTTTTGTATTTTTCGTAGAGACAGGGTTTCGCCATGTTGCCCAGGCTGGTCTCGAACTCCGGGGCTCAAGTGATTTGCCCTCGGCCTCGCAAAGTGCTGAGATTACAGGCGTGAGCCCCCGCGCCCGGCCTCCCACTGAGAATTAATGCTGCTTTTTTCCCTTCAAAAGGGAAGTCTCAAGTCGCCATTTAGTTTTCCTGCTTTCGATAGAAGCCTGTTTACAGAGAAATATTTTAAAACAAAAGAGCAAATGCTATGATAAGTGGCAACTGAAAGTGCTTCAATTAGAGTCCATAAGGTCTGGTGGGGGAGCTCCGCTTGGATAGAACAGACCTGGCTGAAAACAGGGCTGCTCAGCGCTAGTCAGTTGCAGTTCAGCTGAAATTGGGCCCAGTGTTGTCAAGTATTTTGGTCCCTAAAAGGAATCAGAAATCTGGACATTGTGGGCTATTTCAATTTTAAAATTGGTTCAAAGTGCCAGCCAAACAAAACAAGTCATAGGCCAGGTGCAATCCTAGGCTGATAGTTTATCTTTGATCTAAATTATAAACTGTTTAGAACAGGGAGTTTGTTTATTACTGTTCATGTCCAAAGCAGGTCCCCTCACATATTTAGTAATCAATAAATGTGTTGAATAAAAGAAAGAAATGGACGCTGTCCTTAAAAAGTTCTTAGGGATATGGTAGTGGTTATTGATTGCCTAAAACACCTCTAGAAAGGAAAAGATGATAATATTTATTGAGCACCTCCCATGTGTAAAAGTACATTATCTCATTTAATGCTTCTGCAGTCCTCCTTAGGGATTCCCCTCCTGCTTATTTTATTTATTTGTTATTTTTTGTAGAGAGGGGGTAACTCATCTTGGCCTACCAAAGTGCTGTGATTACAGACCTGAGACACCAAGTCAGGACCCTTCCCCCTACTTGAGAGAGAGGTGTGAAGTCACTTGTCCAAGGCCATATGGCCAGTAAATGAAAAGCTAATGGACTCTGATGCAACTAGGAGTGTCTAGTGATTTGCTATTTGAGCAAACACATTCATTGCTGGTGGGTATTTTATCTGCCTGCGTGGGAACTGAAGCACATTGAAAAACGAAACATGTCTTCCAGGAGTTTGGGCCTTCTGAGACACTTCTGTGACTACTTTGGTCATAATTTGATAATGCTTTTTGGAGATGGTGACATCTTCTCCCTGATGACTAACAAAGGGAAAAAGGAAAGGATGCAAATATTTATTTGGAACAATATGCCAGGCTTTTAATATTCATTAACTAATTTTTGTAATGACCCTGTGAAATAAACTTATCCTCATTTTACAGTGAAGTCAACAGGCTCAGACTGGTTAAGTCCCAGGTCACTCAGCTATTAAATAGCCAATTAGGAGACCTGAAGTCATTCTGCTCTCAAACTCTTGCCATTCTACCTCATGCTGAGATATTTTCATACTTGTTTGTTATCCAATCTTTAACTATTTTGTGGCCATCATTTACCTGTATAGGTTCAACAGAAATATTTTATACTTTGAGTTCAAATTAAGATCTGGACCGTATGGCTAATGTGTAATACTCCCTAATTATGTGGTTGTTGATTTTCCAGAGGACTAGAATGCTGCAGGGTTGGCCTTTGGCCTAAACCATTTCTAGGTATGGACTTGCCAGATGAGAGCCAGTGGGATGAAACCACCTGTGGCTTTGCTGTTTGTCAGCACCCACAATGCTGGGCAACTGTCCGCCGCATTGAAAGGGGCCATCCTCGAATCCTTGGCTCAACCTGCAAAACTCCCCTGGATGCTGAAGGTGAATTAGCCAGCTTCTGTCCTCTCCCTCACGAGGTCCTTAATGTATTTATGTATGTGACTTCCTTTCTCCAGGCAGCATGTTAACATGTTTTCTTCTGGTCTGTCTTCTTAGATAAACTCCCAGTGCTCACCGTGGTAAACATCTCGGATTCCTGCTTTGCACCTCGTCATCTACCAGAATGTACCGTTACTAAGGCCCGTTCTTTATTGTCTCGGAGTTCAAAGTTTTACTCCAAATTTCATGGCAGGTAAATTATGATGGAATCTTCCTTTAACAGCCTATTGTCTCAAAATTCTGGCTTATGATTTTCCTTATCCATGTAATATACTTTGAGAAAGCCAGATTAAAAAGAAAATACCAATTTGGTTAAAGAAGTGGTGAATAGGCAGTGGGAGACAGAAAGAAACACTTCCTGCTTGTGCTATAGGAATTGGTTAATTTGGGAGGTATATTGGTTCGGAAGGGCTGTCATAACAAAGTACCATAGACTGGGAGGCTTAAACAACAGAATTATTTTCTTATAATTCTTGAGGCTAGAAGTCCATTATCAAGGTGTTGCCAAGATTGTTTGCTTTTAAGACCACTCTTGGTTTGTAGATGGTAATTTTTTATTCCCTGTGTCCTTTTTATTTATTTACTTTTTTTGAGCCAGGGTCTTACCCTGTCACACAGGCTGGACTAGAGTAAAATGGTGTGATCATAGCTCACTGCAGCCTCAACTTTCCGGGCTCAAGCGATCCTCCTACCTCAGCCTCCCAAGTAGCTATGACTGCAAGTGTGCATCATCGTGCCTGGTTAATTTTTTTGTTTTTTGCTTTTATTAGAGATGAGGTCTTGCTTTGTTGCCTGGGCTGGTCTTGAACTCCTGGCCTCAAGTGATCCTCCTGCCTTGGCCTCCCAAATTGTTGGGATTACAGGCATGACACACCGTACCGAGCCCCTCTCCCTATGTGTTAACATGGTCTTCCCTCTATGCGTCTGTGTCTTAATTTCTTCTTACAAGGACACCAGTGTTACTGGGTTGGGGCCCCCCATGTGACTTCATTTTTACTTTAATAACTTCTTTTTTTTTTTTTTTTTTGAGATGGAGTCTTGCTCTGTCACCCAGGCTGGAGTATAGTGGCCTGATCTCAGCTCACTGCAACCTCCGCCTCCCTGCTTCAAGCAATTCCCCTGCCTCAGCCTCCCGAGTAGCTGGGATTACAGGCGCACACCACCACGCCCAGCTAATTTTTTTGTATTTTTAGTAGAGACAGGGTTTCACCATGTTGGCCAGGCTGGTCTCGAACTCCTGTCCTCAGGCAGCCCATCCGTCTTGGCCTCCCACAGTACTGGGATTACAGGCGTGAGCCACTGCGCCTGGCCCTTAATAACTTTTTAAAAAACCATATCTCCAAATACAGTCAAAATCTGAAGTACTAATTGGGACTTTAACAGACGATTTTTGTGAGGACACAATTCAGCCAGTCTTATCAGCATCTGTAGATCAGAAAACTGTCCATATATGCCATCTTTCTTTTTTCTTTCTTTTTTTGAGACAAGAGTCTCACTGTGTCATCCAGGCTGGAGTGCAATGGCACGACCTCTGCCTCCCACGTTCAAGCAATTCTCATACCTCAGCCTCCTGAGTAGCTGGAATTACAGGCATACACCACCATGCCTGGCTGATTTTTATATTTTTAGTAGAGACGGAGTTTCACCATGTTGTCCACGCTGGTCTCAAACTCCTGACCTCAAGTGATCCACCGGCCTCAGCCTCCCAAAATGCTAGGATTACGTGTGAGCCACCATGTCCAACCCTGTCTTTCTATTTCTTTTTTTTGGTGGGGAACAGGGTCTTACTTTGTCACCTAGGCTGGAGTACAGTGGCACGAACTTGCTCACTGCAACCTCCACCTCCTGGGTTCGAGTGATTCTCCAGCCTCAGCCTCCCAAGTAGCTGGGACCACAGGCACGCACCACCACACCCAGCTAATTTTTGGATGTTTTTGTATAGACAGGGTTTCGCCATGTTGCCCAGGCTGGTCTTGAACTTGTGAGCTCAAATAAATTGTACACTTAAAAATGGTTAAAATGGTCAATTTGTGTTATGTGTATATTTACCACAGTAAAAAACTCATATCCTTATATTTTCATATCTCTTGCTATTTTTCTTATTTTTTAAAAGACATGTTACATGCATGGATGAATGAATAACATAAAGGGGTTGCTCTGTAATCCCAGAGTGTTGGGGTTATTCTGTAATCCCAGAGTGTTGGGATTACAGGCGTGAGCCACCATGCCCGGCCCCTGTCTTTCTATAATGATATTTTATTTTTAGGTATGAAACTATTTGTAAGCTCCATGCCCGGTATGGATATTTTGTTTTTAGGTATGAAACTATTTGTAACCATCATGCCCGGCCGCTGTCTTTCTATAATAATATTTTATTTTTAGGTGTGAAACTATTTGTAAGCTCCTAAAGGAAAAAGCTGTGGCTTTTTTTTTTTTTTTTCTTTTCTTGAGTCTCCTACAATGTCTATGTACCCAATGAGTGCTTGCTGATACACGAAACTAAGGGACAGGTATCTGTGGAAAGCTTAGACTTAAAAAATTCAAAGACTTTGTTACCTGGAATCAAAGCACCAGTGATGGCTCTTATAGTAATTTCTTTTCTCCTGTTCCATTTAAGTAGCCCCTGATGATTTCTCTTTGGCTAACAATGGTATAGGAAGAGGCTTGACTACTTTCATGTTCTCTAGGACTTGAATTTTGGTTAAACAGCGGTGTTTCTCAGTCAGGACCTATGATGTGCTTCACATTCACACGCAGGGACACACTCCACCCCTGCCATGCCCTCCGTGTATAGCGCAGAGCTGTGAGAGAGCTGCCTCCTCTAGTCAGTTCCCTGTTTCCACATCTTCTTCCTTCAGTGTGTCTGGCTTTCTGCTTCACACTCTCTGTCGGAGACCAGTCCCTCATGACATGGTGGGTGTTTGCAGTGGCTTCTGAACTGGCTTCTCTGCCTTTTCTCCTCGAAGCTATTTTACATATGGCCAACAGATTAATCTTCCAAAAATACTGCTTTGTTCATTTCCTTGCTCGAAAAGCCCCTTTATCAGCACTTTGTTTACTAGAGAACAGACTCAAACCTCCCAACTCTGGACTGGTGGCCTCTCTCTTTACTGTCTGGCTTCTCTAATCAGAGTCCTCTCTTCTTGAACACCAACTTTTCCTCTGTGCGAGACTGGTTTTCTGATTGTGCTTTTCTGTCATGCAGTTTCCTTAACTGTAAAGGCCTTCTTCCCTCCTGTCACTTCATTAAGTCCCTGGCCTGGCCTTATCTGGCCTTCCTACTGGACCTCATCTCGCACTTCTCCCTTCCTTGTTGAATAGGCTCAGGCCACACTGCTCTTTCAATTCCTCATCTATGCCACACCTTCCACCCCAGGGTTTATGCCCCTACTGTTTCCCCTGAGTAGAACACTTTTCCTCTTTTTTTTTTTTTTTTAAAAAAAAAAAAAACACTATTGACATTTTGGACCAGATAATTCTTTGTCCTTTGGGGCTGTCTTGTGCATTATCTGATTTTAGCTACTTCCCTGGCTTCTACCCACTGAATACTAGTAGTACCCTGCCTCCAGTTATGACAACCAGAAATGCCTCCAGACATTACCAGATGTCCCCTGGGGGCAATATTGCCCCCTCGTTGAGAAATACTGCCCTAGATCCTTCCAGCTAATTCCTTTCGGTCCTTGAGTTTAAGCTTAAATGTTGCTTTTTCACAGAAGTCTTCCTCGAGCAGTCTATTGAAAATTTTCTTACACCCTCATCATCATTTAACCAAGCATCCTTTTTCTTCAGTTCTTCTGATCTGAAATGATTTTTATTGATTTGTTTGCCGCCTCTCATGAGAATGTCAGTCCCTACAAGAGCAGGGACTGTATGTTTCTTTTGTTGGCTGCTCTGTCTCCTATGTCTTCAATAATGCATGGCATATAGTGGAAACATAATAAGTATTTGTTGACTGAGAGAATATGGTCCTTTTCTTCTGTCAAGGTTGAGTTTTCTCATTTCCCATTAGCCTCTGATATTCTCTCTTCCAAACTACCCCTAGTACTTCGAGTCCCTGACATGCTTATTGATATTTATATGTTTATCTCCTAAGTCCAGCTGGATTTTAGGCCCTTTGAAAGCAGGGGCCATGACATTTGTTTAGTCATTCAATTCACAACTGTATGTTAGTGGGGGCCACTGTGGTGAATGCTGGGGATACAACAGTAACAACATACAGTCTTTACCCTCAAGGGACTTTCAGCCTAGTGGGGAGGCAAAGAAATAAGCAGGTCGTATGATGAGTGTCATGAGAGGACTGCCCCCTGGTGTGTGGGAACACCAGAAAGGGTTCCCAAACCAGGGCACTGTCTTCTGTGTAAGTGGCATCTGTGCCTAGACCGGAAGTCTGAGCAGTCTAGTGAAATGGGGGTTGTAGGTGGGAGGTTGGCAGGAAGAGATTTCTAAACCATAGGAATAGCATATCCAAAGGCTTGGAGGCAAGAGGAAATTCTGTCTGTATCAGGAAAATAGTTCATTGTGCCTAGAACATAGAGCAGGAATGGAAGAGTGGTCAGAGATGAGGCTGGGGAGCTGCAGTAGAAACAGGAAGCAGGTGTCTGTGTCATGTAGAACTTCATAAAGCAAGCTGAGTGTTAGGTCTTTATCTTTTTATTGTTTTTAAACTCGTCTTACTATCATTCCTAAAGGTCGTTTTCATTTACCCCTTGACATTATTCATTCATCCATGTATGTAACATGTCTTTTAACAAATAGGAAAAATAGCAAGTGATTTGAAAATATAAGGATATGAGTTTTTTACTGTGGTAAATATATACATAACAAGAATTGACCATTTTAGCCATTTTTAAGTGTACAATTCATTGGCATTAAGTACATTCACAATGTTGTACATCCATGACCACTATCCATTTCCGAAATGTTTTCATCATGTCAAACAAAAACTGTATCCATTAACGGCAACTCCCCATTCCCTCCTCTTCCCAACCTCTGGTAATCTCTATTCTGTTTTCTGTCTTTATGAACTTTCCTGTTCTAAGTACCTCATATAAGTGGAATCACACATTTGTCCTTTTGTGTCTGGCTTATTTCACTTAGTATAATGTTTCCAGTGTTGTAGTATATACTGTAGTCCCCCCTTATTTGCAGGAAATGTATTCTCAGACTCCCAGTGGATGCCTGAAACTGTGAACAGTACCAAACCCTATATTTACTATGTTTTTACATATACATACATGCTTATAGGAAAGTTTAATTTATAAGTTAGGCACACTGAGAGATTAACAACAATAAGATAGAACACTTATAATATACTGTGATAAAAACTCATGGTGTGAATATGGTCTCTTGTGGTCTCTCTCTCTCTCTCTCTCTCTCTCAAAATACCTTACTTACAGGTGCTCATCTATTTTCAGACCATAGTTGACTGCGGGTAAGTGAAACCATGAATAAAGGACTACTGTATCAGAATTTCATGACTTTTAAAAGCTGAATGATATTCTATTGTATGTATATAATGCATTTTGTTTATTTTATAATAAATTTTTAAATTTTATTTGTTTTTATTTATTATTTATTTTATATTTTATGTTATTTTATATTTTGAGCATCTATCTCAAAGTACTTAAACTTTTATTGATGGTGATATGACTGTCTCTAGCTGGAGAGAAGAGTAGGCTATGAATTCTGTTTGATGGAACAAATAGTTGTGAAGTGTTTGCAGTGTGCAATGTCTGTTTAGGAGCTGTTCCAGGAAAAACAAACAAAACTTAAGGATATGGTGAGACCCTACACTCGTTTGGTAAGCATAAAGCCCAAGGTTTTCTGTAGATAAGTAGAAGGGTTTCCTCTTAGCACTAACTTTATCATTCCAATAAGTGTTTTGTATTTCTGTTTTATGTGTGGAACTCATTTTTTAGGCCTCCGAAGGGTTTACCTGACAAAAGTTTGATCAACTGTACTAATAGACTTCCCAAAGTAAGTCACAGATATTAAAAGGTACTTGCTCAACAATTTTTCTTTACTAGTGGAAATAAGCTATTCTGCCTTTATTTGAAATTATTCCTCAGGAGGACTATAATCTGAATAGTAATGTTGATAGTAACCATCTAATATTGGGTCCTTGCTATATGCTAGACTCTGTGCTATCTACATGCCATATTGTTTTCAGAAATCCTAGAAGTCAGTGGGATTGATTTGTATAGGTTAGGTGTAGGTGAGAATTTTCTGTCTCTTTCCTGCATAGAACATGTTCAGCTACTCAGTAAATACTGTCATCTCATAATCAGGGAAACTGGAATGCTGGAATGTCAGACCCAAATAGGCCTTAAGGTCATCTAATCTGATAACTTACAAACTGTTCAGCTTATGATCTACAGTAAGAAATAGATTTTACCAAAAAAAAAAAAAAAATCATGGAACAATCCTTACCTAACTATGAGTGATATACTCTAATATTTTCTGTCCTATTCTGTTTTATTCTATTTCGTTTGTAAACAATATGGTCTGTGATTCAAAAAACTTGATTTTATGACCTATGAATAGTTGCAATTGCAGTTTGAAGAACACTACAATGGTTTGATAGACCACAGTTTATCTTATGTATCTTGCAGATGAGGAAACTCAGTTGGGAAGTGATTTGCTAAAGCATACAGCTAGTTAGGGGTAGAGCTAAATTAGAACTTTAGAAAGAAAAATCCCTCCTACTTAACTATAGTAAAGAGAGATTTACTATTCTTTGCAGTCCTACTGGATGCCTTTTATTTTTTTCATGAGATGCTTCACTTTTCAATATTATGTGTAATGGAGAGTATAAGGAACTGCGATGGTAGATGGTTTTGAATGGACAAATTGACTAATCACTTTACCTCTTTGACTTCTTTAGAATAAGAGGATTAGATTAAATAATAACAACAACAATAATAATAATTATTATTATTTTAAGAGACAGAGTCTTGCTCTGTCACCCAGGCTGGAGTGCAGTGGTATGACCGTGGCTCACTGTAGCCTCAAATTCCTGGGTTCAAGCCATCCTCCTGCCTCAGACCCCTGAGTAACTGGACTATAGGCACATAGCACCACACTTGGCTAATTAAAAACTTTTTGTAGGAACAGGGTCTCACTATGTTTCCCGGGCTGGTCTCAAACTCCCAGCCTCAAGCAATCCTCCTACCTCGGTCTACCAAAGTGCATGAGTTGTCATGCCTGGCCTAGATTAAATTATTTTAAGTTAATTATTTGGAGAGATAATGTATGAACATGATTTTTAACTTCAAAAAGCATTAAAAGATTTATAATGAAAAGGAATCTCTCCTATTACTTCCAAGTCCATCAGTTCGTCTTCACAGGGACAACCTTATTTTGAATAGTTTTTTCGTATGTGTATCTTACCAGGAATATGAACTAGGTGATTTACAAGGTTTCCTTGAGCACTAGTGTTCTAGGATCCTAAATAGCTAAATGTGAGAAGAGTTAGCCTTTGACTTTTATATAGATGCCTATAATTGTAGTCAGACTGTAAAACACCTTGCTTCTGTTTCTGTCAGTTCTTTTTCTGCTCCCAAGCTGCAGATTGTAATGTCTGCAGGATCTAAGTCTTTGGCGTGGAGTAGGCAGGATAAGTAGTGTTCCTGTAGGCAAGCCCCAGGGCACCCTCATATGGGATCGGATTGGGAGTTGCTAAATGCTACCCTAAGGGCACAGGGAAGCAGGGGAGATTATTTGCTTATTAATACTAACTCTTGCAGATACCTATACTGATATTTGATGGAGGAGGCCGGTTTTTTTTTTTGGGGGGGGAGAATATTATGAAGATGTCTTGGAGATGGGAAACTTAAATCATCTTCTGTGCCACCAAACTCTTTGCTTAGCATATCCTTAATCTGATACAGGAGTTTAGCACCTCAAGCCATACATGGGCTTTATATCTTTCTTTTAGCTTCCAGTGTTGAATTTGAATGAGACGCAACTTCCCTGCCCTGAAGATGTTAGAAATATGGTTGTATTGTGGATCCCAGAAGAAACAGAGATACATGGGAGGTGAGTATCATATCTGGAACTCAGAGGCCTTTGACTCTATAAATCTCTGATGTCTTCTGCAGGCCTCCTTTTTGTGATCTTCCTTTTCGCCAGCTCATTGCAAGTAGCAGGAGGCCAGCAGAGAAGGTCATGGTCTTTTGCACCTGCCTTTTGCTACACTGGAATTTTAACGTAATGCATTTTGAGATTCATGCTGTGGGATTTCTCCATATCAAATTTCACATGGCAGTAAATAGCATACAAGATAAGGCTTAACTTACTTGTAAGGCTTGACTAAGAAATAAATGCTCTCTTAGTTTTTCTGGTTAACCACTTGCAACAAGTGAAAAAGTTCTCAGTGAAGCATGTGAATCTGTGATCTCAACCCCAGGGCCTAGTACAGTGTACAAAAGCAATAGCATGTAGGACTTGTGTAGAAAACAGAGTGTGACAAAGATCATTTGGTGAAGGCCCAAAGGCTGGCTAATATTGACAACCATCAGGAAAGTGTTTGGTTCTTCTTTCCTGATCCTTGAGGCTTTCAGGTTCTTAAGTGACATTTAGAGATGATGAAACTTAAGAATTTCTTTTTATTTCATTTTGTTTTTCTTTTTAAAAAATAATGCTATGAGTGCTTCTCTCTATATATGTATGCATTTGTGTGTGTGTATATATGGTATAAACAAATGAAACACAACCCTAAGGGTTTATTTCCTTTCATGTGAAAGAAGCTCAGAAGTAGGCAGGCTAGGGCATGTGAGCTTCATGAGATAATCAGAAACCGGGGCTCCTTCTAGCTTTTTGGGCCATCTCCTTAGCCCATGAATTCCACCTTCTAAGGAGTTTCATGGGTGCTTTTAAGGTATAAGTTGGCTACTAGAGCTTCCACTATCATATCCATGTCCCAGGCAAGGAGGAAGAGGACAGAGCAAAAAATACTTCTTACGAAACCTCTCTGTGTCAAGCAGCGAGGATTTGGTGAACCAAATAGATTTGGTCCCTGTCCTGTTGGAGCCTTGTCAGGGCGAGTCAGCCATTACAGACATAACCACACCTACATATATCATTTCTAATTTGGATTCATGCTATGAAAGCAGATAACTGGATTGCCTGAGAGATTAATGGGAAACCTAATTTAGATAGGAGGATGGGGGGTCTTTTTAGCAGAAGGTGCTTGGGCAGCAGGTACTGCTGGGCTCCCGACCAGCTATCTTCAAGTACTGATCAAAGATAAGAATCTTTGTGGTCATCATTCACGAACATCCTTGGAGCTTCTGTTTAAGATATCTGGGAATAAGTTGTGCTTATTCTTATTTCAAGTCCAGCTGAGAAGCATGTTTTGTTTTGTTTTGTTTTGTTTTTCTCCAGACAGCATGGGAAGAAGAAAAGAAAGAACTTGACAGTGGTGAGTTTGATGTTTTTGTGCAAATCTTTATAATATTGCTATGTAGAGTTTTGTCTTCCTTTCAGGTCTCCTCCACCTTACCCCCATTCTTTCCTGAAATGATCCAAATCTGCTAAAGAAAACCCTTCTTTAGGAATAATTAACCAAACCATTCTCTATTCAGAGACTCCTTTTCTCTGTCTCCTCCCTGTAGGGAGATGAAGAGCACCTTGAGATAATAGGAGGAACTGTTGTGTATTCAGGGGAGTTTTTGGTCAATTAAAAACTAATCTCCAATGTGATGAGATAGAATTTCAAAGGACCAGGAGTTATAAGACCTGGGCTTCTAATTCTAATTGTACCATTTATGGGTAAATGTGACCTTGGATAAGTCACTGTAAGACTTCTATGTCCATGAGAGTAGTGTCTTGGTTCATTTTGTTCATTGGTGAATCCCCATCCCTAGCTCTGTGCCTGACACACAATTAGACAATAAATTTTTGTTCAGTTTGTTGAGTGAAGAAATGAATGACCTTTCGGGAAAATGAAACAAAACAACGAATCCCTGTGTGATCAGTATACAACAATAGAGTTGGGAGCTTGAGAGGGAAACATGAGGTGGCCTTCATCATTTAGAGGAGGCAAGCATGGCTGGAGTACATGCCAGGGTAGTATTGAGAGGCAAGAATGTTGATGGAAAGGACTAGGCTCAAAAAGAGCACTTTGGAGAATTCTTTTCATTGTTTCTCTTCCAGAAAAGCAAGTCATTTCTGGGTCTCTCCGGAAATCAGTCCGCAGAAACACGAGTAGAAACTCCAGGGATGACTGTGCCTCCCCCAACCCCAGTGCAATTGTCTAAACAATTCAGTTCAGATTTCCTACCTCTCTGGGCTCAATCCGAAGCATTACCTCAGGATCTACTGAAGGAGTAAGTATCATGTAGGTCTGTGGGAGGGCCAGAGCACCTGCTTTCCACTGAAGCTGAGATGGTTCTAAATGGTGTGCTTTTTCTGAGTAGGGCTGGGAGAAAACGATCACCCCAACTTGTTTACTGAACTCTTAGACTTACCAACAGGCAGGGATGACCATCATAACCACCACTATTTATCAGACTTACTGTTTGCCCAGCCCTATGCTAGGCACATCACATGTACTTTCATTTAAATTTCCACTAGGAGGTAGGCACCGTCACTCTCTTCTTTTTATAGGTGAATTATGAATAAGTGGTAGGCAGAATGTGTGGTCTGCAGTGAGATGACCTTTGAATTTTACATTGAAACTTAACTGGCTATGTGAATTTTGGTAATGTATTTAGCCTCTTAAAACTTCATTTTCCTCATTTGCAAAGTGGAAAAAATATCTGTTCTCAGGTGTTGTAAGGATTCGGTGTTATAAAGCACATGAGCCTGACATAGAATCAGCACTGGGTATATGCAGCCATGATGATCGTAGTTGCATCAGAAAGGTGTTACCGAATGAGCACTTGTTGGTACAGGCCTTTTCAGACCCAAAGTGGAGATTTCTTGGAGCCCTTTACATCTCTTTCTCCTCAGTCATGCTTTCCAGGAAGAGCTGTTGCTGACTGTCTGGCTATCCTCTGTCCCCTTCAGACTTTTGCCAGATAGAAAGCAAACCATGCCCTGTCTGGAGATGAAGATAAAATTGGCCATGATGAAAAAGAATCTTCCCTTGGAAAGGAACCGACCTGACAGTGCGATTTCTTCTAAGATGTTTCTATCTATACACCGCCTCACCCTGGAAGTAAGAGCAAGGAAGCAGCAGGGAAGAAGCCTATGTGAAAATTCAAACCCATCTCTCCTCAAATCTGGAAGAGTTGACATTCTATTCCTTATCTCTCTTCTTCCTTTCCACTCTGAACCCAAGCCCCACAGAAGGCTGGGCTCTATGTAGGTAAAAGTCAGTCAAGGGGGACGTGTTGAGAGAGCAATGTTCTCTATTTCTTTCTTTTTTTTTCTTTTCTTTTTTGAGAGACTGAGTCTCACTCTGTCACCCAGGGTGGAGTGCAGTGGTTGATCATGGCTCACTGCAGCCTTGACATTCTGGGATGAAGCCGTCCTCCCACCTCAGCCTCCAGAGTAGCTGGGACTACAGGCGTGTGCCACCATGGCTGGCTAATTTTTAAGTTTTTGTAGAGACAGGGTCTCACGATGTTGCCTAGGCTGGTTTCGAACTCCTGAGCTCAGGTGATCTGCCCGCCTCAGCCTCCCAAAGTGCTGGGATTACAGGCATGAGCCACTGTGCCTGGCCATGTTCACTGTTTCTTCTGCACTTTGTTCCCCACACCTTTTCCCTTCCTCCGTAGCCCCTGGTACAATGCTGCAAAACACTGGGTTCTTAAAATGTGCTTGTTGCCTGGATGACTAAACGCATTTGGGGGATACATTTGGAGAAAAGGAAAGACCTGCAGTAGAGCTTTTCTTTTTCTTTTTTCTTTCTCCAGAGACCCGCACTGCGATATCCTGAACGTTTGAAGAAATTACATAACCTGAAGACAGAAGGTAGATTTGCTGTTGCTGCTGGATCGCTAAGCACCATTTTCTGTTAGCCCACATTTCTCATACTTTAACATGGTCCAGTTCAGTTGTATTTGTGGCCACAGTCATACAGGGTCACATGTAGAACTCAGGAAACAATGGTTTCAGGAAGCAGCCCCTCTGGCTTGGTCCTTACCAGGGAGAGTCACCATTGTGAAGGAAGGCACAGCAGGCATTCCAGTGGGAGAGAGGGGGTTGTTAGAAGAGGATCAAGCTGGCTCTCTGGTCCCCAGGTTACAGGAAACAGCAGCAGTGGCAGCAGCAGCAGCAACAGAGGAAAGTGAAAACACCTATTAAGAAACAGGTAGAGTGGCAGTGAGGGGCTTGCTGGGACTGGGATAGGTAGCTACAGTCTGGAATGGGAAGGGATGTGTGAAGGGTGGGAGTCTCCTTGTTTTCTATCTGGTTATAGATATAAAGTTCTTGTCTGGTTGTAGATGTTAAATTCCTTCTTTTTGATTTCTTTTGAAAAAGGTTTTCTTTACTTCCAAAAATCCTAATTTGTTCCTCCTGATGTGGGTTTCAGGAGGCTAAAAAGAAAGCCAAGAGTGATCCAGGGAGCCAGAGCACTTCACATAAACATCCAGTTACCACTGTTCATGACCCTCTCTATGGTAAGGGGAATATATGCTTGGTTGGGGGTGATAGGATTCCTGAGGGGTAGGTATCTGAGGGCTGGAAAAGCTAAACATGCTCTTGTCATTTTGAGACCTGCCTTTGTCAGGCACTCAGAATTTCTTGGAATGCTTCAGTCTGTCTGGTCTCTCATGCACCATCCTTCCTTCAGAAATTTACTAAACAAACAAGCTGGGCCAGATGTCTGCTTCACATGGGCGCTTGAAAGATGACCATGAACATGAATCACAGTCATATTTTCCTCAGGTTCTACCTTAGAAAAGGCAGAGCACTTTGAGGATCAGGAGAGCAGCAAGCCCAGGTTATTGAAGAGAAAACCCTGAGGGCTCATTGTCCAATGAGGCAGGGAGAGCTGGGGCTCCTCACTAGAACCCCAAAAGAGTTCTAAGGAAGCAGAGCTCCAGGGCCCCCTAACTTTCCTGCCACAAGGTAGAGAGTCCCCGGAGCCTCATGGTAAAGTCACACACATTGTCTAGCTCCATCCAGGAGTCAGGGAGACAATTCTCGTCAGGCAGTTCTTTTGCTCCAGTGCTCATGCTGGACACGAGAAAGAACATCTCCCCTTTTTGGAGTCCTTATCATGTCTGAGCTCAGGCATATACTTACCCCTATCCCTCTGAAATTTTTCAACTTGAGTGGAGAATGGGAGGAGGGAAAAAGAATCCCCCCAAACCTTGGAGAATGGTTGTGCCCTTCTCAGACTAGACATTGCTGACTTTAATATGAAAACAACTGTTTAATCATCAGAAAGAGCTTTCCAATCCTGGGGCACTGGGGGGGCTGAGATGAGGTTTCCTGTAGAAGGATGCTGCCCTCTTGCTTTTCTTCCTATCTCACTTAGTTGTCTGATGCCAATGATCTGCTCTAACCTGAAGGTTAGAAGGTTCCTGCCCTTCTCATGGGAGGTGGACAGAATCAGGGCTTGGCCCCGGGCAGGAGGTGATGTATCCAAGGTTAGCACTCCATCTAGGGTGACCACTCCGAATTCCATTCTGGTGCCTTTTGTACCCCTTCCCAATGCCTCCAATAGGAGCAGTTTTGCTTGGGTGACTGGGGTGCCCCTGTGAGTCATGTTCTTAGAGCAGTGGCCAGTCCTCACTAAGTTGAGAAAGGCTTTATGGAAGAGATGATTTTTGCATTGGATCTTGAATATGTGTGGGAGTTTTCCTGATATGGAAAATAACTCTTGAGAGGGAATAGCCTGTGCAAAGGCATCTAGGAGGATCATAGCTGCTCAGGAAATACTGAGCAGTTGAGTGTGGTTGTGGGGTTGGGTATTTAAGGGAGAGTGGTCTACCACGCCAAAGAGGTAGGCAGGGGCTTGTGTGGACTGCTGAGTCATTTGACCTTTATCATCCAGGCCAGTGGTGCTCTGCCTTGACTGTACACTAAGACCAATTATGAAGCTTTTATGTATGTATGTATGTATGTATGTATTTATTTATGACGGAGTTTTGCTCTTGTTGCCAAGGCTGGAGTGCTATGTGCGATCTCGGCTCACCACAACCTCCGCCTTCTGGGTCCGATTTCAAGCGATTCTCCTGCCTCAGCCTCCTGGGTAGCTGGGATTATAGGCATGCGCCACCACGCCTGGCTAAGTTTTTGTATTTTTAGTAGAGATGGAGTTTCTCCCTGTTGATCATGCTGGTCTCGAACCCCCAACCTCAGGTGATCTGCCCACTTCGGCCTCCAAAAGTTTTGGGATTACAGGCATGAGCCACTGTGCCCGGCCAAGAAGCTTTTAAAACTCTAATACTCAGGCTGTATCCCAGCTGTTAAATCAGAATTTCTGGTGGTAGAAACTAGGCCTCAGTGTTTTTTGTTTGTTTGTTTGTTTGTTTTTTGAAGCTCTTCAGTTCTCCCAGTGTACAGCTAAGGTGAGAACCAGTGCTAGTAGGGAGTCGATGGAAATGCTATATTTTAGCATAATGCCTCAGGTGGCAGCTTGGAAGATGTTTGTTTAGGGAAAGGGAGATTGAGAAAAGAATGAATGAATCTTCTTACGGACTAGTTGGGGAAGCAGCTGATGCAAAAGAAACATAAAACTAGAGGTTTTTGTTTTTGCTTTGTTTGTGGGTGCATGAGGGATGGCGCAAGAAGATGAGTCACATTCTGGTAAGATAAGTCACATTCTGTGAAAAGGTAGATTAGGGTTTCTTGGAGGAATCCTGGGTCTTTTAACACACACTTGACCGTAATCTCTAATTCTGTAATAGATTAAGTTACAGTCCCAGGTGAGCAGAATCTCAAATAAAACTCAGAAGGTCTAACTACCTTTTACCTGCCATCAAGGTCTTGTCTTTTCCTGGATGTGGAGTCACTTGTAGACTAGGGGTCACCTAGAAGCCCCAAAAGAGGATATGATATGCCAATAAGAGGAAGATTGAATTGACTTTTTGGTTACTAGGTTACAGAACTCTGCCAGGTCAGAACAGTGACATGAAGCAGCAGCAGCAGATGGAAAAAGGAACCACCTCGAAACAGGTGACAATGTACCAGGCCTCTGCTAGGACCCGGTTTCAGTTATCTATTACTGTGTAACAACCCCAAAGCTTAACCGTAGTGATTTGTTATTTCTAATGATTCTGTGGGTTGACTGGATAGTTCTTCTTTCCCTGCTTGAGGTCACTTAATGCAGCTGGGCTGAGGCTGTTGGCCAAGTTGCTGGTTTTCCTTCCTGAGGCCTCTGCATGTGGTTTATTTGGGCTTTTTGATAGCATAGTAGTCTCATGAAAGCAGTTTCTTAAAGGATGGGCCTGGAACTAAAACATTGTTACTTCTGCCACATTTTCTTGGCCAAAGAAGAAACAAGTCCATCCCAGAGTAAATAAGAGAAGAAATAGGCCCTATCTCTTGATGGGAGGAACAGCATGTGCATACTGGAATGGGAGGAATTGTTGGAAGCCATATTTGGAGGCCATCTGCCCTTAGTTGACTGCAGGGAATGGGAAGGAGTGGTTCTAGGTTCATTTGGATAGCATGGAGGGCAAAGAACGTGTGATACAAGCTTCTCTTCAGTCCCAAGAGGTGGGTCTCTGGCTCATCTTAGATGTTAATTTCTTCAAGAAAAGCATCTTTTAGAAAAATCCTTTTAGTTTCCTAAAGTCTTGATTCAAATTTCCTTATACCCCGATGAATTTCAGGATTCCACAGAGAGACCAAAGATGGACTACTGTGACCATGTGGATTTCCACCACAATGTAAAAAGTAAGTTACTAGAGTAGAGGAACCTTAGTAAGTGACTGAGGATAGGGAGAGTTGAACCTGTGTTGTCCAGGATAGTTTACCTCCCTGAAGGCACAGTTCCCCTATCTCAGACAAGTCCTAAAAAACATCCCAGTTTTTCCTTTTCTGTCCTCCATTTGTCGTAGTTATTTGAGAGGAGTTTACAGGTGCAATTAATGACTACATCTTCTTTTAGGTCCTGAACTGTATGAAACAGAACCCACTAACAAGGACATTAGTGCTCCGGTGGAAGCTGTGCTAAAAGCCCAGGCTGCCAGGCAAAAGAAGATCTCCTTTAACTTTTCAGAAATCATGGTTAGAACAGGCTGGAACTCTGAGCTCAAACTACTGAGGATTCTTCAGGAGACTGATGATGAGGATGAGGAGAACCAGTACTCTGAGGCAGAGAAGCCTCTGGAGGAATAGACTGAAGGCATCCCCCGGGGCAGCCGTGTTCCAAAGTGGGATGGTTGGTAACCTGAGGGCAGCAACGTTTCACGTAAGGGCAAGAGGAGAGGGGCTTCTGCTCTCTGGAGCTTTTACCAGGGCCTGAGATCTGAGCTTAGGGATTCAGTTTTCTTCGTTCACCTCTACTTGCCTCTAAAATAAATGTAGGAGGAAAATCCCCAGCCCTTTTAAATGTAGATTATTTCTCTTGCGTTAGGGTCAGTATAATTTTGGTGATTAAACACAACTGCTTCTCAATTAAAAGACTCATTTTCTGTTTCTAGGAAGAAGGGAAAGATGTCTCTTGGTGTCTGTTTTCTTGGGTCACTCTTATCTCTGAAGCTCTGAAAGGTTTCCAGTTGGAGGCGGCTGAATTTGGCTCATGGGAGCTGCCATGGTGCTCCCTAGATTTTTCTCTCATTCCCTAGAAATGGTTTCTTTTGGAGATGGGATCTACATTGTTATCACATAATGTTCATTGTGTCACTGGTCTTAAGCTCCTAGGCTCAAGCAGTCCTCCCTCCTCAGCCTCCCAAAGTGCTGGGATTACAGGCAGGAGCCACTGTGCCCAGCCAAAAGCTCTAGTTTGTTTGTTTCTTTTTTTTTTTTTTTTTTTTGGATGGAGTTTCATTCTCGTTACCCAAGGCTAGAGTGTGATGGCATGATCTTGGCTCACCGCAACTTCCACCTCCCGAGTTCAAGCGATTCTCCTGCCTCAGCCTCCCGAGTAGCTAGGATTACAGGCATATGCCACCATGCCTGGCTAATTTTGTATTTTTAGTAGAGACAGGGGTTTCCCCATGTTGGTCAGGCTGGTCTCGAACTCCTGACTTCAGGTGGTCTGCCCACCTCAGCCTTCCAAAGGACTGGGATTACAGGCATGAGCCACCACGCCTGGCGAAAAGCTCTAGTTTCTAAGGAACTGAGTCTTCAGGAAAGTTTCAGTGATGCTCAGAATTTCAGAGTCTCAGGGAATCTCTAACTTGGTTTTGGAGGGTTTTTTTTTTTTCATGTTTTAGTCCTAATGTAAAAATTTCAAAATTACGTAAAGGGAAAGAGAATAATATAATGACACTTTGATGTATTCAGTATTTTAGATCTGGGCAAGGAAGGCCCTTGGCCCCATGCTTTAGAAAGTCCTCTGGTGTTCTGGCTGTGCTGCCCCTCATGGCGGAGAAATCTGCAGAGCCAAGTGAATGTATACCTAGCTGAAGTCTGTGACTCCCCTTTTAGACTTTGTTCCTGGTATTTGGAACCCTGGAATTCCCTGCCCAGTGGCCTCTTGCCTACTTCCATGGCTTCTGCAGGCCTCTTTTGTGGGTCCATCCTCCCAAGAGTGGACTATCCCACCAGTATGTGCACTGCTGGGTTCAGGGGGGTAACAGGAGGGTATTTGGAGAGGAATTTGTCCAGAGCTTGAGCCGATGGACTGGCGTATCAGCATTTGTGGCCTTTCCCAGTAAGGATGGGATCATGAGAAGTGAGGGCTGGTTCTTCTAGTGCTGCATGTTAGTGTGGAACTTCAAGGAATCTGTGGATTTTGAATGAACCTGGCTTTCTAGATCATGAAGGTATACTGATCAAGATAGCAAGTTAGAACATGTTTTATTTAACAATTTGTTAGCTTAATTTATAGTTTTTAAATGTTCAGACATGGTTAGTAGACCTGTTTTTGTACAGTTATCTTGAGTCCTGCAAAACATTAGGACTGCCCAGAGCCATCATTTGGGACAAATTTTAAGGAGGAAGAATTTAACAACACAATATAGAGATCATTAATTTGCAGCCCCATTTTAAAGGTAAGGATAGCAAGGCTCAGAGAGGGGATATGTCTGGACTGAGCTCATGAGCTGGGAAGTGGGGCTGAGCTGGAATCTGGCTCTCCTAGTGCTAGGTCAGAGCTCTTTTCATTATTCCACTCTGCTGTTCTCTCACCTCATTCTCCAGAAACAATGGTAGGTTATTCATCATCATATTTAACCTGAGTCTGACTTCCTCTCCTTCCTGGTGTGCTGTCTGTCTTCCTCTATAATTGATTAATGTGGGTCCCGAGGATGCTGGCTCCATTTTTTTTTTAATCAGGAAAATTGGAAACATACAAAAGTTCATGAGCTCCCATGTGTCCATTACCTAAGAATTATCAATTTATGACCAATCTTGTTTCATATATATACACCCCCATCCTGAACAAGGTTATTTGAAGCAAAGGTCATTTTATCCATAAATATTTCAGCATACACTTCTAAAAGAAAAGTGTTAAAAATAACTACAAAAATTAATCATAGCTGTTTAATATCAAATATCCAGGCAAATTCAAATTTCCCTCTATTATTAATTTCTTTTCACAGTTGATACCATCAAACTAGAATCCATATAAGGTCCATAAATTGTATTTAGTTGATATGCTCAAAAATTTCTTTCTTTTTTTTTTTTTCTTTTTGACACAGGGTCTCACTCTGTTACCCAGGCTGGGGTGCAGTGGCACAATCACCGCTCACTGAAGCCTTGACCTCCTGGGCTAAGGTGATCCTCCTGCCTCATATTGTTGGGACCACAGCCATGCGCCACCACACCTGGCTAATTTTTTAAAAAATTATTTGTAGAGATGGGGTCTTGCCATGTTGCCCAGGCTAGTCTCAAACTCCTGGGCTCCAGTGATCCTCCCATCTTGGCCTCCCAAAGTGCTGGGATTACAGGTGGGAGCCACCTGGCCCCTAAAATCCTTTAATCTATAGGTCCCACTTTCTCCTTTTTCCTTTTTCTTTCCTTGCAATTTATTTGCTGAAGAAACTGGGTTGTTTGGTCTGTAGATTCCTACATTCTTGATTTTGCCAGTTGTATCCTCATGGTGGTGTTTAACACATTTCTTTATTCTCTTTATTTCCTGCAAACTGTTAGATCCAGAGGCTTGAACTGCTTCACGAATTTTTTGTTTTTTTGGCAAGAAAATTTCATAGATGGCATTGTATTCTTCCATCAGGAGGCCCATAATGTCTGGGCGTCTCTTCTCTGGTCTTAGCGGCCAATAATAATCTTTGCCTGATTTTTGCATGTTGATCGTGTATCCCACAACATTACTTACCTTGTTATTTAGTTTTGGTAGTTTTTTATTGGATTTCTTATTATCTTCTTTCTCTTTTTTGGAGTGTTTTGCCTTTATTGATAGTGTTGTTGGGGACAGAGGAAAGATTTCTTTTCTCTCTTATTGCTAGGAGACATCTATAGCAAAGGACAGATTAGCAAGAGAAAAACATACACATTTATTTCATATAAGTTTTACATGACACGGGAGCCTCCCTATTGAAGACAAAGAAACAGGGAAACCTGGGTATTTTTATGCTGTTTGATGAAGAGTAGACAGTTGTGGAGAAATGTGATTGGAGGACAAAAGAGTATGATCTAATGGTAATAAACTGGGGGAACTTAGCAAGGCCTGTTTGTGCAGATTCTTCTTTGTGTCCCTTGTGTCTTCAGAGCTAAGGATATTCTTTTCCTTTGGGTATAGGGAGGGTCCCTCTCAAAATGAGAAACTTGTTTTGGGGAGAGGAGGGAATGATGAGAGTGACCTTCCTGGTTCTGCTGTGTTTTCAAACGGCAAGGTGCCATATTTTGGGGTTGCATGTCCTAAACCCCATCATTGTCCTCTTCCAAATTCATCCCTAACATGTCAAGGTGACTTTAGGGTGGTCACATGGTCCTGAGGCTTCCACTTCATGAATGAAGTGTGTTTTTCTAATGTGATGCTCCTGCAGGCAAAGTAGGGAAAGATGCCTTCTGACATGCAGCCCAACTCGTTTTTGGCTTATCATTCCTTTCATCTAGCAGGAGCTAATACTGCACCTGCCCAATTGCTGGTTTATTATACTACAAAGGATACGGATGAAGAGATGTGTAGGTCGAGGTATGGGGAAAGGGGCTTCCATGCTTTCCCTGGGCGAGCCACCCTTCAGGAATCTCCATGTGTTCGGCTATCTGGAAGCTCTTCTTAGGATTTTCTATATACAAGATTATATCATCTGCATATAGAGATGTTTTTGTTTCTTTCCTTTTAATCTTCATGCTTCTAATTTCTTTTTCTTGCTTAATTGTCCTGGTTAGAACCTCTAGTACAATGTTGAATGGAAATGAAGAGATTAGACATCCTTGTTTTATTTTTGATCTTAGGGCAAAGCATTCAGTCTTTCACCATTAAGTATGATGTTCATTTTGAGTTTTTCATAGAAGCCCTTTATTATATTGCATTCCCTCTTTTCTTCTTTTTTCTTTTCTTTTCTTTTCTTTTCTTTCTTTTACAGACTGTGTTGCCTAGGCAGGAGTGCAGTGGCACCATCATGGCTCACTGCAGCCTTGAACTCCCAGGGCTCAAGTCATCCTCCCAGCTCAGCCTCCTGAGTAGCTGGGACTACAGGTGTGTGCCACCATGCCTGGCTACTTTGTTGTATTTTTTGTAGAGATGGGGTCTCACTTCGTTGCCCAGGTGCCTTGACCTCCCAAAGTGTTGGGATTACAAGTGTGAGCCACCACGCCTGGCACTACTCTCTCTCTCTCTCTCTCTCTCTCTCTCTCTCTGAGACAGGGTCTCACTCTGTTGCCCAGGCTGCAGTACAGTGGCACAATTATAGCTGATTGCTTGCAACCTCGACCTCCTGGGCTGAGGTGATCCTCCCACCTCAGCTAGGACCACAGGTGCACCACCATGCCGGGCTAATTTTTTAATTTTTATTTTTGGTAGAGACAAGGTCTTGCGGTGTTGCCAAAGTCCTGGGCTGAAGTGATCCTCCTGTCTCAGCCTCCCAGACTGTTGGGATTATAGGTGTGAGCTATGGTATACCCAGCCTTGAGTTCCCTTTTTTTGCCTAGTTTGTTGAGTGCTTGTGTGTTTTTTTGTTTTTGTGTGTGTTTGTTTTAATCATGAAAAGGCATAGGATTTTGTAAATGCTTTTTCTGCATCTATTGTGATGATCATGTATTTTTGGTTTTTCTTCTATTGAGATGGTGTATTACATTAATTGAATTTTGAATGTAAGCCAATCTGTGTTCCTGGGATAAATCCTACTTGATCATGTTGTCTAGTTATTTTTATATGTTGTTAGATTCAGTTTGCTAGGATTTTTTTTGCATCCATGTCATAAGAGATATTGTAGTCTTCTTGTGATGTCTTTGGTTTTGGTATGAGGACCTCGTAGAAGGAGTTGAGAAGTGTTTCTTTCTCTTCAGTTTTTTTGGAAGAGTTTGTGAGGAGTGATAGTATTATTATTTCTTTTCTTTTCTTTTTTGAAACAGAGTCTTGCTCTGT